TTATAGACCTAGGATATACAGCTCTTATCACAGAATTTCCAGACAAAGTTCTGTCTGTAAGGCTTACCCAACTGGCAGGACAGGGTAACGAATGTCACAGTTTAGAGCACAATTACTCTATGGGGAAAAATTGTATTTTCCCAAGTGCCCAATATGTGGTTCTGAGAGTTAAACAATATATGACAATGAACACTAAGGTGCATAAATCACCTATTTGAGACACAGAAACATACACAGTGCAACATAAAAAAAGAACTGAAATGAGTTACTTGGGCTGAATCAAGTTAAAAAGCATAAATTCTAGATTCCAGATGGCAAAAAGGAACATCAGGCATGAGGCACAGCATGACTTTATTTAAAAAGTCAAACCAGGGCTGGGCATTTAGCCTATTATTAGGATACTAAGTCCTGTCTCCAGCTCCCAATTCCAGTTTCCTGCTGTTGCAGACCCTGGGAGGTAGCATTACTGATGGCTCAAGTAGTTGGATTCCTGCCACCAATGTGGCAGATCTATATTGAATCCCCGGCTCCCAGCTTCAATGGGCCCAATCACTGCCATTGTGAGCATTTAGGGGAATGAACCAGAAGATGGGCGCTCTGTCTCTCAAGTTGAAAAAGGAAAAACACCAAAAAACCAAAGTCAAATCAACTAAGTCAACAAACCAAAGGTTGAAGCTTTGTACTGAAAAAGCAAGAACTGAAAGGTGGTACTGTCAGGTAATAACAGGAGCAGAGACTTTGGTGTCAGAATAAGATGGGTTCAAATCCTAGCTCAGAAATTGTATGAAATCATGAAAGCCTACACTTTGGAGCCCTTACCTGTAAAATGGGACTACTGCTATCTGCCTAGCAAAGTTTTTGAGAGGATCAGAAACACAGGGGAGTATAAACTGCAGACTTTGATATGGGTCTGGGTTACAACTGATAGTATTCCTTTTAAAAAAGATTTATTTATTTATTTGAAAGTCAGTTAGAGAAGGAGAGAGAAAGAGAGAGAGAGAGAGATAGATAGATAGATAGATTCTTCCACCTGCTGGTTCACTCCCCAATTGGCTGTAACAGCCAGAGTTGCACTGATCTGAAACCAGGAGTCAGGAGCTTCTTCCGGTCTCCCATGTGGGTGCAGGGGCCCAAAGACTTGGGCCATCTTCTACTGGTTTCCCAGGCCATAGCAGAGAGCTGGATCGGAAGTGGAGAAGCTGGGACTTGAACCTGCGCCCATGTGGGATGATGGCAGTGCAGGAGGCAGCTTTACCCACTATGCCACAGCACCAGCCCCAACTTATAGTACTTTTATACTTAAGACTCAGGTTTCTCATTTTTTAAAAAATATTTTTAAAATTTGAGGGGCTGGCGCTTTGGTACTGATGGGACAAGGACATAAGGCTCAGCCATTCTCCCTCATTGCCCAAAAGAGATAAACTTTGGAATGTATTCCTTGCCCTTGAAACTCATTTGGGTCTCACACCCTATTGCCTTCATACCCCACCCTGCATTCTTTTCCAGGTTCCCAAGGCCTCGCCCAGTTCCAGGATTCCCCTCCACCTGCTGCCCCCTACTCCCACCCCCACCCCCAGCCCTCCTTAAAAATGCCCGGCCCCTGGGAGTCAAATACAGGCAGGCAGTTGGTCATCCACCTCTATGGATTTATTTTCTCTGAATAAATTCGGTCTGGCTGTAAATTAATACATTGCCTCCTCTCTATTCTGTGACTCTTTTCCTAAAATATTGGTGCCCCGTGAGAGGAGGCACCAATCTGCAACTCTTTCCTAACAGGTACAATGGACTAAGCTTCCGCCGGTGGCACTGGCATCCCATGAGTGTCGGTTTGTGTCCTAGCTACTCCTCTTCTGATCCAGCTGTCTGCTATGGCCTGGGAAAGCAGTCTCTCAAATGAATAAACAAAATCTTAAATTTTTTTTTTTTTATTTCAAAGTCAGAATTAGAGAGAGAGAGAGAGAAACCTTCCATCTGCTGGTTCACTCTCCAGCTGGCTCCAATGGATAGGACTGGCCAGGCCAAAGCCAGGAGCTTCATCCAGGTCTCTCACATAGGTGTCAGGGGCCCCTGCTGCTTTCCCAGGCTATTAGCAAAGAGTTGGGTCAGAAATGGAACAACCAAGACATGAACTGATGCCCATATGGGATGCTGGCATTGCAAATGGCTTTACCTGGTATCTGACAACACCAGCCCCAAGTTTTCCATTTTAAGATAGGTATGATGAAATCTCCTTGAAGCTCTTGTGAGGGGGTGTATGTGTGGTGCTGACTGTTACACTGCTGTTTGGGGGGCTAGTGCTGTGGTGTAGTGGGTAAAAGCTGTAGCCTGTGATACCGTCATCCCATATGAGCACTGGTTCAAGTCCTGGCTGCTCCACCTCCAATCCAGCTTCCTGCTAATGTGCCTGGGAAAGCAGTGAAAAGCCCAAGTACTTGGGCCCCTGCACCAACATGGGAAACCTAGAAGATGCTTCTGGGCTTCAGACCAGCCCAGTCCTGGCCATTGTGGCCTTTTGGGGAGCAAACCAGTGGATAGAAGATCTCCATCTCTCTCTCTCTCTCTCTGTAATTCTGCCTTTCAAATAAATAAATGCATCTTTAAAAAAAAAATATGCTGCTTCGTATGCCTACGTCCTATATTGCAGGGCCAGTGTGAGTCCCAGTTCTTCCACTTAGGGTCTAGTTTCTTGCTTATGTGCTGAGGAAGACAGCAAAGGACAGCCCATGTACTTGGGTTCTGCTTGTGGGAGTTCTGGATGGAGTTTCTGGCTTTTGGCTTCAGCCTAACTCAGAACGGCTGTTGTGGACATCTGGGGAGTGAACCAGAGGATGGAAGATCTCTGCCACTCTGCCTTTCAAATAAATAAATCTCAAAAAAAAAAAAAAAAAAAAAGTTTTATGAGGATAAATAAAACAATGTCTATAAGGTGGTTTTTTTTTTTAATTTATTTATTTGAAAGGCAGAATTACAGAGAGGCGGGGGGGGGGGGGTCTTCTATCTGCTGGTTCACTCCCCAGATGGCCACAATGGCCAGAGCTGCACTGATCCAAAGCCAGGAGTTTCCTCTGGGTCCCCAACGTGGGTACAGGGGCCCAAGGACTTGAGCCATCTTCTACTGCTTTTCCAGGCGATAGCAGAGAGTTATATTGGAAGTGGAGCAGCCGGGACTCGAACTGGCACCCATATGGGATGCCGGCCCTGCAGGTGGTGGCTTTACCCACTGTACCACAGCACCAGCCCCTGTAATGTCTTAAAAGTATACTTAGAGTTTAGTAAGTTGTCTACTGGGTATTATGTAGATATATTCATATATATACCTCACCTTACATGATGCCTGCTTTAGTATATCTAATATGTGTTGACTAATATGTATTTCTAATCATGAGAAACTCCAAAATAATCATTATAAACGATTATAAATGTTAAAGTGTGATTTTACACTTTGTAACATATGACTAACTGATCAAGAATAACAGAAGTTCATTAATTATTCTAACTATTGACTTTTTTCAGGATAATTCAGGGAGTGGAAGAAGGATTAAGCACAAAATGCTTATTAACACAGAGGAAGTCCAACAGCAAGGAAACACTAGGTGGGAGATATGTAAATCAGTATCAGACATATCAACTATTCACCCCAAAAACTTGCAGTCCTTAAATTACATACTCATTTGTTAATCAAAGTCATTTACTAATTTTTTGCCAAAGGCAAAGTCAGACATAAATTTAATTCTTTCTTACAACCCTCCTTTACATCAAGCTACTACCTATAGTTTTCTTGGCCCTAGACCAATTTCACTGGTTTTGGGAGAATAACTAACTCACCAATTGTTCAAAGACATTTTGAAATTCCAAGTGTTCAGAAACCAGAGCAACCATTTCACATCACCATTCGGGGGGGCTGGAGCTGCTATACCCTGGTTCCTAGAAACCAGCTGCTCACCTGCGGTAGTTGAAAATTTTTCTGCCTGAAACAGTTATACATGTATAAAGTGAAAAAAGGGGGAGGTAATTAAGCGGCTAAGATGGAATTCAGTAACGTCTCTCCCCAGCAGAAAAAAACCACTATTAAGGATTTATTTTGCCTACTTCTAAAATAGATTAAGTTAAGTAAAAGTTCTTTTAACATAGACAGCTGGAAAATTAACAAAATCCCAGGAATGTACCATTTATAGGCTACAACAGATTGTCTTAAAGGGAAAACCTCCCACCCAAGCTAAAGTGTACAACCAGACCTCTTAATAGAGACTTGGGCCAATGTTGTGGTGCAGTGGGTTAAGCTGCCACTTGAGACGCCAGCTCTGCTTCCGATCCCTGCTGATGTGCCAAGGAAAGCAGCCCTGAGTACTTAGGTCTCTACCACCCAGGTGTGAGACTGGATGGAGTTCTGAGCTCCTGGTGTTGGCTTGGCCCAAGCCCAGCCATTACGGCCACCTGGGGAGTGAACCAGCAGAAGGAAGAGGGATCTCTCCCCCCCCCTTCCTCTGTATTTCTGCCTTTCAAATAAATAAATCTTTTTTTAAAATGATTTGATTAAAGAACATTTTCATTTGTTAAATACAGTTACACTGTGTCCAACATGTAGACAATTATGTCTCCACCACAATAGAAATCACCTTTAACGTAACGGTGGACAACTCTGCTAAGCTTTAATGCTAGAGGTATACTGTTAACAGGGTAATACAATTCTGTTTTTGAACAAGAGTTACATATCTGGAAACTTACTCATACAAAAGATGTTCAAGTCATGAGTAAAATGTTTTTGGTGTAATGAATATTTAATAATACCACAGCGATAACACTTGGTGATAAATCTTTCCTTTAAAAACAAACAACACACTTAAAACTTTCACTATCTGTTCACCATGAATAATTCAATTTTTAGTTTTACTCAAATGGGGGTATACATACAATCTTACAAAACAGAAAAGCATCATTTTAATATGTTACTCTTTTTTCTTAGGAACTCTGCATACAACTTCATATGCTCCCAAATTTACCTTTTCATTTTTCTTGTCTGTCTCTGGTGGCTGTTTTGCTGTTATACTTCGAGGAGTTCGAACAACTTCATCCTCAGCCACTTCAACAGTCCGTCCATTTGGCTGCAGAAGCAAAAAAATAAACCATTTTACCACACTGCCTGGCAGATCAACCAGTCTTACACTCAAGAAAAAGCATAAACTACAGTCAAATTCTGCCCCGATCCAAATTAAAAATGTTTTGTATAGTAATATTATCTCAGACTTGTGGACTACTGCCTCTAGTAACAGTGTTTTGTATAATTACAAAATTCTGAACCACAAATTTTCTCATCTCATCCAGATATCAATATCTCTTACAAAAATAATGGAATAGAGGCAGCTAAAAGGAGAAATAAACTGTATTTGGACTTTGCCCACCAATTAGCTATGCAATCTCAGATCATTTCACTCATTATCCTTGAACCTTTTTCTCCATATACAAAATGAAGGTTTGATCTATTTAAAATTAAACAGATTTTTTTTTTTTCTATAAAGGGCCAGAAAGAACATATTTTGGGCTTTGTGTGCTATAGCATCTCTGCTGTAGCTGCTCAGCTCTTTCAAGGGCAGCACACAAGCTGCCATATGCAACATATAAACAAATGAATGCTGGATGATTTCCAATGTCTCCTATAATTCTACAATTTAATGCCTCTACTGTTTTAGGATGAAGAAACCTTATCAACCCATTGCATTGGCTTAAAGATGCTACCTCAGCTTTCTTAACATTCCTAAAACAAAATAACAGCACTTAAAGATGTTCATAAGAAAAATCAAATCTGTGATCCCCAAATCTGGCTTTTAGTCAGATTTTTTTTTTGTTCCTTTTAAATGCACATCTGAGGCCTATGACCAGAAATGTAGCAGATTGAGGAGTATGAAGAATGGTACCGAGGTATCTGTATTCTAGCCCTTTTTCTGGACCCTACTTCTCCTCCTCACTTGTGCATTCTTATCATATCCAACATGATACAGTCAGTAAATCAATGTAGTAGTGTCAATGGTTTTATGTACAGTTCTTACAGAAGACTTCTACTAGACTGCCTCCTCACTAGCAAAGCTATACTCAAAGTTATGAATGTTTGAAGTTTCTATGTTATCTGCAATTGTTAAGAATGATTAGAGATAAAATAGACATCATTTATATATATATTTTAAAAGATTTATTTATTTAAAAATTAGAGTTACACAGAGAGAGAAGGAGAGGCAGACAGAGAGAGGTATTCCACCCGCTGGTTCACTCCCCAATTGTCTGCAATGGCCAGAGCTACGCTGATCCTAAGCCAAGAGCTGGGAGCTTCTTCCCGGTCTCCCACATGGGTGCAGGGGCCCAAGCACTTGGGCATCTTCTACTGCTCTCCTGGGCAAGAGCAGAGAGCTGGATGGGAAGTGGAACAGCCAGGACTCGAAACAGCGCCCACTGAAGGCCGCGGCTTTACCCACTTACAGTGCCAGAGTGCTGGCTCCATTTATATTCTAAAACACAATTTGTAGACTTTCCAATGATCTGTGGCAGAAAATCAAAACAAAAGCTGTCTTTTAGCTGATTAAATTCGCATTTAATTCAAATTTAATCTGCTGGTTTGAGGCAAGCCTCCCAAATGAAAGATGAAATAATCTTTCTTTTCAGTACCTAAAGTTCTCAATCAGTGATCAACAGCAGGCCTGTAGGTTCAAGAACATTCTGCTTCTATTTCATAGGCTCTGACTGGCAAGGTATCTCCTATCTGTGCCAATTTTAGTTGCTTCTTTATAACATCAACCTATACAATGTCTGTAACTTCAGCTATTCTCTGTGGCCTATGCAGACTTCCTAATTTTCCATGAATTCTGCAGATTTATCACGCTCTCATCACTATTGGGATTCCAGAAATTATCAAGAATTCCCTATACACACCTGATACCATAAAACAATAAGCCTCCTTTCCCAAGAATAAAGTTGGGTAGCAGGAAAAGGATACACTGTGATAGTTCCCCTATCAAGCATCAGCACCAATCTGTCCTTCTATTCTCCCACTAACTGTTCAATGAGGAAAATCACTGACATTATTTAAATGCAGTATTATATAGATCTGTTCACATAAAAGGTAACTAGCTGCAAACCAACGCTTCAAATCCAATGTGTCTGCTCTTCTGAACTGTGATGTATGAGAATATGGTAGGTTCCTTTCTTTTTTTTTTTTTTTCAAATTGCTTTCTGATTGTTTTTATACTTTTTTGAAAGCTTTTATTTAATAAATATGAATTTCATAGGTACAACTTTTGGGATATAGGGGTTCTTCCCCGCAAACCTGCCTTCCACCCCCACTCCTGTCCCGCCTCCTATTCCCTCTCCCATCCCATTCTTTGTCAAGATTCATTTTTAATTATTTTTATATACAGATCAACTCTATACTAAGTAAAGATTTCAACAGTTTGCACCCACACAGACACACAAAGTATAAAGTACTGTTTGAAGACTAGTTTTATCATTAATTCTCATAGTACAACTCATAAAGGACAGAGGTCCTACATGGGGAGCAAGTACATAGTGACTCTTGTTGTTGATTTAACAATTGGCACTCTTATTTATGATGTCAGTGATCACCCAAGGCTCTTGTCATGAAGTGCCAAGGCTATGGAAGCCTTTTGAGTCCACAAACTCTGACATAACTTAGACAGGGCCCTAATCAAAGTGGAAGTTCTCTCCTCTCTTCAGAGAAAGGTGCCTCCTTCTTTGATAGTCCCTTCTTTCCACTGGGATCTTATAGATCTTTCATGTAGGCCATTCTTTGCCACAGTGTCTTGGCTTCCATTGAGTTTATGGTAGATTTCTAGCAATTATATGGTCCTTTCATTGTAACCCAGTAAAAAATTCTCTGGGGCCAGTGCTATGGTGCAGCGGGTTAGCTGTGGCCTGCAGCGCCAGCATCCCTTATGGGTGCCGGTTTGAGTTCTGGCTGCTCCACTTCCAATCCAGCTTCTGTTAATGCACCTAGGAAAGCAGTGGAAGATGGCCCTAGCGCTTGGGCCTTTGCACCCATGTGGGAGACCTGGAAGAAACTCTTGGCTCCTAGGTTCAGCCTGGCTCAGTACTGGTCATTGTGGTCATTTGGGGAGTGAACCAGAGGATAGTACATCTCTCTTTAACTCTGCTTTTCAAATAAATAAATACATCTTAAAAAAAATTGCTGGATATCTTTGAGGTGTTTCCTCTAGAACCAACCAAAGTTAATTTCATAGAGAGTATACAATCTATAATTTATGTTAAAGATGTCCTTCAAATTTGATGAAAATCAACCAGAAACAGAAAAATGATACAACTGTTTAGTTTATATGGACAAATTCCTCACAGGCTTTGTGATGTCTACCTTATTGTTTTAACTCCTCAACTTTCATCCCCAGATCCTTTTTTAAAAACACATGCACTGAAGAACTCTGTGTGTGTGTGTGTGTGTGTGTGTGTGTGTGTGTGTGTGTAGGGGGAGGGAGGCAGCAATCTAGAATGAAGATATCTAGCTGATAATTAGATGGAATGGAAGCAGGAGCCACATTGCAGTACAGCTAAAGCTTATTTCATGAATCCTGATTTTAAGGAAATAAAATTAAAATTGTTGGGGCCAGCATTGTGGTGTAGCGGGTAAAGCTGCCGCCTGCAGTGCCAGCATCTCATATGGGCGCTGGTTTGAGTCCCGGCTGCTCCACTTCCCATCCAGCTTTCTACTATGGCCTGGAAAATCAGCAGAAGACGGCCCAAGTCCTTGGGCCCCTGCACCCGCGTGGGAGATTCAAAGAAGCTCCTGGCTCCTGGCTTCGGATCAGTGCAGCTCTGGCTGTCGCGGCCACCTGGGGAGTGAATCATTGGATGGAAGACATTTCTCTCTCTGCCTCTCCTTTTCTCTCTGTGTAACTCTGACTTTCAAATAAATAAATCTTTAAAAAAAATTATTCATGCTAGTCAATCTTCAATTTATTACACCATATAATTCTATAAATGTTAATAAATATTTAAGTCCCAAGCACTGGACAAGAACTGTGAGAACAGTTTATATGAAAGGAATCTGTCCTCAAGGATTTTAAAATTCAGAACAATAAGATATGCTGTGCAACAGGCTTCTACTTCATTTGAGCAGTCCTTACATACAAATTGCAGAAGAACTTCTATCTATGGTTCACTTGGCTAATCCTCTGCCTGCGGCGCCGGCACCCTGGGTTCTAGTCCCGGTTGGGGTGCTGGATTCTGTCCTGGTTGCTCCTCTTCCAGTCCAGCTCTGTGCTGTGGCCCAGGAAGGCAGTGGAGGATGGTCTGAGTGCTTGGGCCCTGCACCCGCATGGGAGATCTGGAGGAAGCGCCTGGCTCCTGGCTTTGGATTGGCATGGTGTGCTGGCCCTAGCAGCCATTTGGGGGGCGAACCAACGGAAGGAAGACTTTTCTCTCTCACTGTCTAACTCTGCCTGTCCAAAAACAACAACAACAACAACAAAAAACTTCTAAGGTAAGCATATATAAAACTTAACATTTGACTTCATTTATAACCTTACTTTCACTTAATTATATAAATTTTGTTTCTTGCCACAAAATGTAAAGATCATAATTTCAAATTATTTGGAAATCTATCAGGTTTAAAATCAGAAGAGCAGTCTGCCAACTACCAAAAACTGAAATAGGAACAGACCATGGGCTTTGCAATTAGAGAAACCTGGGATTAAAGCCCAACTTCTATATTCAATACTGTGACTTTAAGCATTTTCCTTGACTTAATCCTGGATTTCATAATTTGAAAATATGAGAAAAAATGTGTACTGTGTAACAGGTTTCTTGTAAGACTTCACCAAGTGAGACGGCATGGAAAAGCTCAAGAAACAGTTTGTCTAACAGCATTTTCTCTGCAAAGCTTTGATGACCCACAGTAACTATCCCCGCTGTTTAGTATTCAGGTCACTTTTCATACCAACAAGTGCAAAATAAATTTTAAATTCTGGTGGTGAAAAGGGTGTGGACATGCATCTGCCAGGCCCAAGGCTTCGGACAAATTCTTTTAACAAATATATCCTTTCCGAGGCTAAAAACAGATCAGGCTTACTGCTTTCTAAGAAAACAA